GAGGTTGGGAGGGAAGAAGGAGGCGGCGGCGTTCCCGTCTCTGTCGGGGGGTTTCCAGCTCTCTCCGGCCGGCGGCACGGCGCGACCTCGTCCGCGGTGCGTCTCTCTCTCTGCCCCCCTGTCCCCTCTTCATTCCTTCTCCTGGTTCTCCCCCTTTCGGCAATTTTGAAGATTTGGCATGGATCCGCGCCGCTGTGTGATTTCTGTACGGATTTTTTTCCTCCCAGCACTTTTTACTTCGTCGTGTAGCCGTATCTGTGTGAGTTATTTCTTGTTTGCCCCCTTGTGGTGTCCGTTCGGCGAGTTTAGCATAACTAATTTTGGGTTTAGGGATCTTCTTGATTACTCTTTTTCTTGGTGCGTGTTGGATGGGTTTAACATGCTGCCTTTCGGCTAGTTGCCGCATAGATTTTGATTAATTTCCTGTGCGGAATCTGCTCCAGTTTTTTTTTCTATAAGTGTGTTGATTAGTTTACTGTGCTGCCTGATTCATCAGGGCATGTGATCTTTGTGAAAAAGAAAAGAAACAAAGCAGGGCATGTGATGCTTCCATGTTGTTTTAGGATTCTTTCCCCAATTTCTGGAACTGCTTGTTTTTGTCTTCCGCTGAATGGTGGGTTGCGGTCAATCTCTTTAAATGTTTAGGCATTTCAGGTGGAATGTTTTCATACAATTTGTAGCACACAAGTAAGATGGCTTGGTTTTTCCTCTCTTGCACATTTGAATTATACACTTGGTGGCCATAGTAAATTCCTAATTCTCAATGGTACTATTGCTCAAGCACATGGTATGAGATGTTATGTGACAAAGCAAGATCATTATGATCCATAACCTTTTTTTCCTGACAAATGATGTGATGCTGTCATGAACTAGGCTGGGGTACCTGAAAGCTTTAGGTTGCACATTACTTGGTCAAGGGAGGTGATAGGTGTGAGGCAAATTAATTGGATCCGTATCTAGTTAACTAGGCTGATCTGGAAAGTTGCTGTTGTACCATCTTGTAGTAGCTTCTTAGGTTTATGATGATATGCTGTAGTGATGGGGATGCAGAGTCTTGCTGCTTTTATTGCTTATGGGAGCGACAGACTAAGTTGACATGCTGCTTTATAACACGCAGGCTGTCATGAAAAGATACATTTGGTAGGCAAAGCTCAGCATGGGTTCAGGAAATCTGGTGATGAAGAAGGTGGTGAAGCCCAGCTCTTTTGATCTCGACATACAGCTCGACAAGAGTTGGACGGAGGACGTTACTTGCCCGATCTGTCTCGATTTCCCTCACAACGCGGTCTTGCTGAGGTGCACATCTTATGAGAAGGGTTGCCGGCCGTTCGTATGCGACACCGACAAGTCCCGTTCGAACTGCCTCGAGCGGTTTAAGAGTGCCCATGGGCAGCCGGTGAACGTGAAGGTCTCGGCCGTTAACATCGCCCCCCGTGACAGCATCCATTTCATCTCTTCAAACACAAACAACCACCCGGCTTGCCCGTTGTGTAGAGGCGATGTCATCGGGTGGGCTGTCATCGGCGAGGCGCGACAGCACCTCAACCAGAAGAAAAGATGCTGCGAAGAGAGCTGCTGTTCATACATTGGCAACTTCCACGAGCTTCAGAAGCACACCCAGCAGAAGCACCCGAACTCGCGCCCTTCGGAGATCGACCCCGCTCGCCGAGTTGACTGGGAGAATTTCCAGCAGTCGTCTGATATCATCGACGTCTTGAGCACGATACACGCGCAGGTGCCTAACAGCATAGTTCTGGGAGACTATGTCATCGAGTATGGGGACGATGATGCTGGAGACGACTATGAAGTTCTCCACAGGGTCAGGGGAAACTGGTGGACGTCCTGTATTTTCTGCAAGTCGTTCGGGTCTTCGAGAGGCCGGAGAAGAGCAAGGACAAGGGAAAGGAGAAGTGGTGGAAGGAGGGCCGGCAACAGGTCTGGTCAGGAAAGCTTCACCATCGACGTTCCAGCCCGAGCAGTTGACATAAGGGAAATCAGATTTGATGGAATAGATGATGAATATCTTGTTACAGGGGCAATGCCTAGTGCAGCATCCAGGAGAATGGCCAGTCATTACAGGTGTGTGCATATACTTTGCTTCCCCTGTTTACTGTCATTTTTTTTAAAAGGGCCGCTTTCTGTCATTGGCCTGTGGCTAAGAGAATTACCTCTCTCTGGCCATCGAAGAGTAGTAACATTTTTATGCTTTCAAGGATCAATAAGGTGCCACTTTAACCACTACTAGATTTTATTGTCCTGAACAATTTCTTTATCCTTTCAAATTCAGCGCTAGTGTATGCCGCATTTATAACTGTAAAAACAGTTATATTACCAGAAACTGTTAACAAATCCTAGCTGCTCATGTTTCACTTCGGCAGTCTCTGACACACCATTTCTTTTTCTTTTCTTTTTTTTGATCAATCCAGGGATCCCAGGTATGTCCGCCGACGCGCGCACGCCTAGGATCGCAATGCAGCAGCAATCAGGAAGTTCAGAAGCATCCCACCTCCACCGCCTGTTTTCATTCCTTGTCCTCTTCTCTCTGCTATCCAAGCCCGTATTTCGTGTGCATAGACGATAGCAGCAGCAGGCCTTCCCCCGTTATTGTTCACAGGTCTCTACCATTTTTAGGTTCTTCATTCATGTAAATATTCAGCTTTCACCACCTTATTATAGCAATGTATGCCTCGGTTTCCGTCCGCGAAACCACTGTATGTGAAAAACAACCGCCGTGCGCGATAATAGTCGGAGAAAGGCTTTGGAATGGATTTCTCTTTCCTGTAGAAAGAAGGTTGTGATTTGGGATCCGCCTCTGCGCGTTTCGTTATGTCTCCTGCTACCCAAGACTCACTGAATCCAGTGTGCACGTACATTTTACCGTCATTGTTCGTCAGGAAACAGGCCTTGCCGTCCGTTTTATAGGTTGTTCATGTAAATATGAAGGTTTCTGTATGTGTTTGGTTGTGTGCTGTGCCTCCCTTGTGCTGCTGGGCTTGTTGCGAAAGAAGAGGCTTCCGTGCTGGGATGTGTCTGAACGAATGCCACTTGTGTGCTACTCCTACATCTGACGGCGATTTGCGTGCGGGGGCGGACCTGCCAATGCCCGTCCTGATCCTGATCCTGAACCTTGTGTGGTTGCTTCCGTCAACCGCTTTGCTGCATGATTCCGGGTTAGACTTGGACTTCCGTTAACGGGTTGGAGATGCCTTTTGGAATCCTGTTTGTTTTGCTTGCACGGCTTGATCATCGGCCGTGGCCACGGAACCATGGTTTACATAGTAATACTAGTACTTGTCATGTCATGGTTGCAGCAGTATTGGGATAGCTGTTGTTTTCAGTAAACCACGCTTTGCGCCACGCAATTCGACGATATTTGCGCAAGTAGCGGGGGTTCCTAACTGTTCACGCAAAAGCAACTACTGGCATCCAATCAGGGGCTGGAAACGGGGGTTTGTTAGAGCTGGTGGGAGCTTTCATTCTTCCCAGAAACCAGGTCCCAAAGTGGCATCATAAGGGATCCGGCTCCCTGCGGGCCCACGTGTCAGTGAGGGAACTGTAGGGTGCCGTACGGCAGGGATCCTCGTCCCATCATAAGTATGTACAAAAGGGCCCGTGCGTTGCAACGGGAGAAAAAAAATACCATACATACTTGTTTTACAAAAAATGTTCTATAATCTGAGATTTTGTAGCCATTTCTTAAATACATGAAGAGTTAAAAATGTTGTTAAAAAGATACATGATTTTTTAATCATAAAAGGAGATTTTTTTTTTTTGGAAAAGAACACTTTTTTACGATTTCATGTTGAAGCAGGTACTTGCGCCCCTATTTCATCACTATTTCTAGTCATACATGTCATAGGTATTGGTCCCTGTTTCATCACTATTTATTTCTTAATAAACTTGTCTTTTTTTTTCTTATCAAACTTGTCTTTTATTTTATTTTTTGTCATGCATGCCTCCTTTTTTACCCTTTTCATGCATGTCCTCTTTTTTCTTCTTCTTATATATAGGAGAATAGTGCAACATCTCATCTTTATCGGATCTCCTCTGCATTTTCTCTTTTATTTATTTTCAATTTGATGTCCAATGCTGATTTTGCTGAGGTGTTCATCCCCAATCTGAATCAGTACCGGTATGAAAAAAGATGGATAATGCATTGTTGATTAGCATTGCAGCCTAGATAGTATTTTTTAAATTGTTAACAGTTAAAATAACATCATATTTAGATTCTACATATTTCTCTAATCAAATTTCATATATAATATGTCAAATTTGGAATTACGGTTTAAAAGATACGAGTATTTTAAAAAACATTTAATATGTACTGCGGGTTTAATGCTAGAAACATCGGGGGGTTTTCTACAAAATAGCATGACGGACTAAGAATACCTATTTTTTTATTAGTAAAAAAAAATAGGTATAGATATAGATATCAACTTATGGCCATTATTTATTTTGTAGAAAGATCCTTGTAAGCTGTGAAAATTACAATCCACAACAAATGTCGCGGGGAAGCAAAACTCTCCCTGTTTTTCCATACAACCAGTCCTGATAACTTTTTAGCTACAATCAGAGTTACAACTTACAAAGGTATAAACTGAAAAAGTTTTTGTCAGCGGTATTAGTAAACAAACAATGTGAGAGGAGTAACCAAGCAGCTCGCGGAAAACATACAAGGTACAGAAAAGCAAAGCTCAACATAACCGGTGGGCGGTTGAAATTTCAGGACCAATTACAACATCATCAGTGTCGCCACGGCAGTGCCAGGGGGCCGAGCCACATAAGTGTTGCGCCGGAGACTCCAGGTATACGACGCCAGTCCCTTTTGTGTTCCCTATCAGAGTGCTGGAAACATCTGACGAGAACAACACACATTGAGGGTTATGGATGATGATTAGTTACCTTGTACTAGACCAAACAAACAGCAGCAGCGGAGAGAACATATTCCTACTTCATAGACTACACGAGGCGACTCTAAAACATTGCTAGAGTAGCCAGGTTTGATCTACTCCCTCCGTTCACTTTTGTAAGTCGTTTCAGACAACTCAAAATAGGCTGTTTTGCACATTGTCTGAAATGTCTTCAAGGTCTTATAAAAGTGAACAGAGGGAGTACTAGAGACTGGTCTTCCAATCATACACACACGAGAGTACCATTCCCATTTGCATGGCTTTCAGGAACCGGTGAGCTTTGCTGGAGACTTTCTCGTCTCAAACTAATGAGCTCGCCAGAGAGAGCTCATGTATTTCAGTCAGCGTCCACTCTTCTCCAGTTTGTCCTCCAAGAACTATTGCCTTTGATCCTTCCATGACACACGTGCTGTGTCCCCAGGCAAACCTCGGAGGTCGCCCTGGAACGTTCAGTATTCTCCAGGTGGGTTTCTCTTCGGTCGGATCCAGGAGGTAAAGCTGTGAAGCAGAGTGAAGACCTGCTACCGAGCCACCAAATATCATAATTCTCCCTCCGGGCAGGCTCACGGCAACATGATCGAGGCGAGGAGGCGGACCAACTCCAGCTGGGTTACAGGCTCCTGGCATTCCGCTACCGGTGATGCACCGCCAGGACGGCACAGCATCACTCAAGTCCATTGTGAATACATCGCCAGACCTGAGTCGCAAAGGGCCGCTTTTGGCAAGGCCACCAAACATCAGGATTTTCCGGCCATCGTAGACAGAGAGCGAGTGCCCCAACCTAGAAGGCGGAGTCCAAGGTGCAGGTATCTCCCTCCAAACAGGCCTTTCCATTGTCACATCCAGAAGATGAGTATCACTGAGGAGCACACCAGAGTCGGCACAGCCACCAGAAACCACCAGCTTCGATCCATCCAGTGTGCAAGAGCTATGCCATGACCGTGGAACCGGTGGTGTAAGGCCAAAAATCTCACGCCATGTAGGATGTTTTGCATCCAAATCCAGAATAAACACGTCATTGAGCAGGCCCTGGCCTCCACATCCACCAAACAGAACCAACAGCGATCCATTTAGGCATGACAGGGTATGGCCCCAGCGGCCAGGAGGAGCCAACCCCACATTGACGTGCCTCCACTCTGGCTTGCTCGCACTCAAATCCAGCACAAAGGTATCATTCATCGGCTGTGCGTTAACACCTTCCCCACCGAACAGGACAACACGGTTTCCTACAGCACAAGCACTGAAGTTACAGCGAGATGGCTCCACTGAACCCCCGATTGTCAATTTCTTCCAGGTGACGGCTTCCAGTGTAGTCAACTCCCTTGCTAGCCGTCCCCATGCCAAACTTTTTGTGCCAGCCACATTCTCAAGAGCCCGAGTTGCGTCGTTGCCCCATGCATTCTGACAAACCATTCTCCAAAGGTGATCATTCTTTGTCATGTGATACAAACGTTTACATACAGAGTTTACAGACGCTATATCCCTAGGTGACAATCTTGACAGGATCTTCTGGCATAGTACCTCATCACTCAGTTGGAAGAGATGAGAATACTCAGAGCAAAAGTTACCCTTCCCTGTTGGACTTGGCCGGAGGGTATTATCTGGTGTAATCCATATTGATCTCACAACTTCCTTTGCCATAGAGCCAGGCAAAGGTCCCAAATCAACATTACAATCGTTGAAGAACTGAATGCCCATATAATGGGTTATTGTTTCATCATCTCCATATATGGGCTTTAGTTGCAGACTCGTCATAAATGGGGAACCATCTTTCCTAAAATTCAGCAGATCACCCTGGAACTCAGTTCCTTCCTCTAAGCATCTCTGAATCTCAGTAACTACTATAGCATCAACAAGAGGATGTCTCCTCTGAGCAAATGGTCCTCTGCATTGCAAAAACCGGCTGCAGAAAAAATACCAAAACAATTGTCAATAACAGAGGTAAAATAAGAAAAGTAAAATGGCGAATGTAACATGTTCAACTAAGTTACGTGATAACTCAAAATCGAAATCAAACATTGAGAAATTGACCAAATATATTACATTAGCAAAGATGAAATGTATATTGGTGTTGCCAGCAAGTTGATTAATAGCTCGACTATATGTACTATTTCTTTTATTTCTGTCCATGATGGTATGATAAGTAATAACATCAGCAAAACAAGTTATGTTTAGGAGCTCCTCACAACTTCACTATTTAAGCACCCAAAAATTGAGTTGTCTCAACTACTTTAGCCCCCATAATACTGAAGACCACCATTAGTTCAGCCACCTCTACCAAAGCTCCCATTATTATCTTGCATAAACAACATAGGAGTGCATATGTGTATCCAGACAACTTCTAAACAGATGTATTAGTAGAACAGTTTACAGCGCTGAACGATCTAATGTATTTTGTTTACCTTCCTCTAAAACATTTGATGTTCATCTAATTCCGCCTTGTTGCACACACACACACACACACAAAAAAAACTCTTGTATATCAGGCAGAGAGCCTTTAACTAAGTATTAGTTGCTGTTTCAGCTTTTACATTGACATTTCATTATTTCAATTTATTCTAACAAGAAAAATATATTTTTATGATGTTTTGTCAAGTGAACACCGTTTCATGAACATATAGCCACATCTCTCAAACATCATCAACCACAAACTGATCGTTTTCCTTTCTGCTCAGCTTTGTTAAATAATAATTAGACCTGACGCTAAATTGGTGGTGATCCTTCTTACTGCTTCTCCACATAGCATAAATTTTTCAAGCCTAAGACAGTTGACTAGCTGAATATTTAATCTTAGACCACACTTCTAGCAACAACAAAAAAACTGATAGAGTTAACATTTTTCAAAATAGAAGGTCACCAACCAGGGAAGTACTACTAGAGGAAGGGCAAGCAAAATTAAAGGTAGTGTTAAAAACCAAGAGTTGATTATAGAATCCACAAACACTCTAGTTATTTCACACTATATAAACTCAAAGAGGACTGACATCCTAATAAAAAGCAGGCAGGTGTTCCATCCTAAATTAATTTCCAATGAATAATTAACAGGAGCACAACACCTGAAGACAAAGATAACTCATCGTAGAAGTGCAACCATATAGTAACTAACTGGTTAGTTTTTTGTTGGAGTAGAAGAGCAGATAGACAGCTAACCAACCACATATCACTTTAATTGTTAGTATGGTCTCTTTCTAATGCTTCTGATCTGATGTTTTAAGTAATTAATATTAACATGATGATTCCAGTTGATGGTTTTTCCGTGTCGACAAAGCCCTTAACTGGACTAAAATACTCTGGACTCCTAACTACGATATGGCTTCCTTTACTGTTCTCAGTGGGGAATTAGATGCATGTTCTCGGAGACTCAGAGTGGAGCTAGATGTGTGTATCTCTTTCATCGAAATTCACCTAATATGAATCACTGAAAAGTAAGTGTTCATGGGCCCAATTGCAGCACCCACAAACAAACGGTGAGCTCATGTCTCTCACTAACCATCTGCCTCATTTGACACTGATGGTATCAGCACCAAACAGATTATATATACTAGTATACCCTAACTAATTTTGCAAACCAAAATTGAACTACTAGTTCCTGGTCTTTATTCCACTAAATCACTTTCAATCCAATAACTAGCATTAGCAGCATGTACTCAGAAGCCAGATCCCCCACAACACATAAACCAGCACCACCCACACACCCATGGCGTGTCGCCAAAGCTCGAACTCGCCGCATGCCCAAACCATAACTAATACTCTGACTCCTAACTACAATATGGCTTCCTTTACTGTTCTCAGCGGGGAGGTAGATCTACGTTCTCAGTGTGGAGCTAGATGTATGTATCTCCCTCATTGAAATCCATCAAATATAAAGCACTGAAAAGTAAGTGATCAGGGGCCCAATTGTAGGGCAAACAAACCGTGAGATCGTCTCCCTCTAACCATCTCCCTGATTTGACACAGATGGTGATGAATCACCAAACAGAATATATATACTAGTATCCGCCTAACTAATTTTGATTGCAAACCAGTTGAACTACGAATTCCTGCTCTATGTTCCACTAAATCAGTTCCAATCCAGTAACTAGTATTGTAGCAGTATGTACTCAGATCCCCCACAAAAGCACTAACCAACACCGCCCCGCGCCATGGGCGCGTGGCCGGGCAAAGCTCGAATTCGCCGCACGCCCAGACCGTAATCACTCGCAGAAGACAAAATCGGCGGGCTGAGAGGCAGGGGGGCACTCACCAGTTCCTGCCGAGCACCTCCTCGGCGTGGTACCCGGTGGCGTCCTCGAAGCCGCGGTTGACGTAGATGATGGGGAAGTCGGGCTCGAGCGCGTCGGACACGACGAGCCCGCAGGCGCCGCCGAGCACGCCCTCGATCGCCAGCGAGAACCCGCCGCCGCCCCGGCACCCATCCGCGCCCCACGGCCCGACCCCCTCCTCCTCCTCCTCCTCGTCCTCCTCCCCGCTGCCGTCCGAGTCGCTGTCCCACTCCATGGCCCGCCGAGAACCACTACCTATCCCATGGCGCGCGCTCGCTCGCTCCTCGCTAGGGTTGGCTCCTCTCTCGCTCGCTGCTCCTCCGCTGACGCCGCTGCTGCTGCTGGGGAAAAGTGGGAGTTCGTTGGGGGATTCGATTTAAATAGCCGGATTTAATCTGGGGCGAGGAGGAAGAAGACGAAGCAACGAGTGGACGGACGACGCGGGGGCGGGGGCGGGGGCGGGCGAGAGCAAGTGGAGGACGACGAGAGGACGTGCCGGGTTTGGTTTGTGGGGGCGGGAGGGCGATATCGACCGTCCGTGGGAAGGGTGGACGGCGGGGATCTGCGGCTGGGCCGGCGTGCGCTGGCCGGTGGTTCTCTGGCCACTCCCGCTGAGCTGAGCACAAGGGACGGGGACAGGGTAGTGCGACCGGATCGATCAGTGCTGGTCTTTTCTTTTAAAGGGGCTTTGCTATATCGCACTCACTGTAATTTCATGAAATTGTACTGATTGGTTTTATGTTTATACAAAATTGTTTTATGATTTTTGTGTTTGTTGAGATGGAGAGGTAAGTTTGGACCGAGGCGGAGGCAGCGGCGATGCGCGGTGGAGACGATGTGGCGGCGAGGATGAACATTCACGGTGCGGGGGTTAGAGGCCGCTGGTTGGGCTGGGCGGGAGGACGGGTTACCGGAGGTTGAGCTGGCGGTTTACGAAGAGGATAAAAGTCATTGGGTTTTAGACTCATCCAAATTGAGTTTATGTTTGGCGTGTTTTCAGGCGACTGTCGTATATGCAACCGCCTAGCATTATCCCCTAGCGTGCAAGATGTGAAATATCAAATATGGCATCTTCTATGTTACTAGCGTAAGAGAAATGAGCCTCTCTCACGTGTCGGGCCAGTAGGAGGGCTTGCGGGCCACATATGTCAGGCTCTAGGTTTTATTTTTCTCGTTTGGCTGGCTGGCCCACCTACCAGTTAATGCGTGGATTTTTTTTCTATGGCTTTCGGTCCCACATGTTGTTGTGGTTGTGCTAGAAGGTGGATGAGTTCACGAAGTAGGTTGTGTTGTCTGACGGCGGGAACAAAGGTGGAGGATGCACTGACAAAGTGGTAGTGCAGTAAGAGGCAATTTCTCGGAGTACCCGACTCCCTGCGACCCCTGACCCGCCAAATTCCCGTACTCTTCTCATCTCCCCTTACACAACTGCTATGGCACCATCGGCCTGCACGCATACACATCCACGATGCTTCTTTGCCACTCCTCTAAGAACAAGGGACGGGGACATGGCAGTGCTACGAGATGGTTGAGTGTTGTTTTTTTACATGGGCTTTGTTGTATTGCAGTCGACCGCAATTTCACGAAATCGTAATCTGATTTTGTCATTACATATGTGCATTGTTCGTGATTCGTGGTTATTGAGCCAAATCATGAGACATCGTGCAATGGAGGCACGTTTGGACGGAGCCAAAGGTGGCGAAGAATTCGAAGTGGAGATGACGCCAAGGATGAAGATTCGCGGGTGAGGTTAGGGGTCTGAGTTGGGACATCTACGTCGGAGAAGACGACGAGGCATGACAGGGTTAGAGAGAGACCGAGGCTAGCGGCAAGATGGTGGCTATGGGAGGACAATGTGGTGAGGCAATGTGGTAGCGGTTTCAGGCATGAACGGGAAGGGCGTTGGTTCGGCCTGATGGGAGAGCGGCTAGACATAAAACTGACGGTTGAGGTCGAAGATAAAAATCATTGCATTTTAACTCATCCAAATTGATAAAGTTTAGGTGCATTTCAGGACAACTATTGTACATATGCAATATCCTAATATTATTCTTTGGTGTGGGCAAAATGTGAAATATACAATACATATTCTGCTTTCAATACAAAGATAGAGGGCGTTTAATAACACAGATGTGGCAGCAACGTTGGCTCGGGTGACCAAAACTACCCATGATTCTAAAAATGTTTTTTTAATGGGACTGCGGCAGGTTTACGCCTGCCTAAAGACTTCCATTCCAAGCCACAAGGGGCATCAAACAAGTTCACAAGAAGATTTATGAGGAGAAAATGGAAAACAAAAGTTCCAGGAAAGTAACTACATCGTTTTAATATATTGTGATGTCTTAACGTAAAATGGTCATGGGCTCTCCTTGTATATTCCCATGACGCGGCACCTAACCGATGCACGAGGTGTTCCATTGGATTATGAATTGGCTAGATGCATCTACAACATCTACCTTTCTCTTTTCTTACGGTTAGAGAGCTGGTGTATATATTCTACTAGTAAACATGCCCGTGCGTTGCACCGGAAGAAAAAAAATGATGTGCTTTGCTAGGAAGCAAATGCCAATTATCATTAATTAGGTTGGCCAGGTAGAGGATAAGTTTGATGATGGCAGAAATGATGGATCAATTAACAATAGGATTCTTTGGGGCGCTAGTTCGAAACTTGTGACATGAATCCTAATCAACTAATCGGGTGGACAACCTTATCTTTAGACTAACATATTGATAACAAAACTATTCTACATGTAGTTCTTATTTTGAGTTACTGACATCAGACAATAAAAATATGGTATACTTCGTCCAACGTCCATGCATGCATACTTCTGTCGCTGACCGTGAAATCCTTATTGTATAGATGTTCTAACTTACTGTTCTATTACGATATATGTATGATTCTTTATTGTAATTGCATCTTTGCTTAGTCTGTTGCGCCTCAGTTCACAATTAGATGCAATTTGCTTTGTTCTCCTTTTAGATGATTATCATTAAATAAAGTTAACACTATCATACATAGAATTATTAATGTCTTTAAATCATGGTGGTAGGATATAACAACTTCTGTAATTACCTTTGTTCAAGAAAGTAAGCTAGTTCATTAAAGTAGGCTATTTTTGTTTACTATATTCTTTTATTTAAATAATATTTTTGTATTGTGGTATACATATACATAGTTTCAAATAAGTATAACTGATTTAACTAATGACGGCTCATGTGTCGCTAGTGTCCTGTTTTTCATGGATACAATTTGGGAAGCAGAAAAATGTTATGACATTGCAGATCAGGTTAGCTATTGTACTACTATCAGACAATAAAAGTTTTTTCACACATAACAATAGCTTTATTGAGATCAACTAAAGACTCTATTGTCATGACACGTAAATGTGTGTGTTTTGGCATCGATGATTTTTTTGCACACATATGAACCGTGATCAATCCGTCTATGTATGGTGTTTGTTTCCTTTTTAGTTTTGTCAATATGAGTTCCCGAGGACATAAATAGAGTAAAAAAAAATTAGAAGTGTCAGCGATAGTTCATGTCGCTCTGAGCCAACATGAACGCGGCACCGGTGCTCTGCACGGTGTTGAACGTTTCGGACGGGAAGGAACGCGGATGAGGGAGTGGATTTTGGTTGGGACAGGGCAGTCATAATCATGCCCGACAGCGCTTCGGACGCCCGCAATGTCCTTGCGCCGAGTTTTTTCCGTTTTCTCATAAAAAGTAGGTTCAGACCGGGTGGCGAACCGATACAGGCTCATATTGGATGGCAAAACATGCCGGGACCGGCGGTCCAGCCGGTTGCGGGCGCTTTGAGTGTCGGCGTTGAAGATGCCCTTACACACTCTTCGAGAGTTTAATAATTCATTTAAAGTATTTTATAAAATTATCAAAAGATTTGAATTCTTATGATTTTGATACGTATTTTTATTATCGAGGTTGTATGATTTGGATGATTATATTTCATTTTCAATGTCTTTTTTGCACAAAAAGTATATTATATGTTCTCATTATGCGTCCATATACTCCGTGTACAAACGGCTGTTAAAAACAAAACAATGCTGGGGCTGAGCGGCCGGCATGTATAATTCCCCATAGGCACGTGTACTTCCACCGCTGTAGAGCTTGCTTATCCACTCGTGTCTCCACCGAGAAGCACATCTGCAATTCTGCTTCTGCCCAGACCGAGCATGTAGCTTCTCTTCCGAGAGATCCACATCCCGACCTCCCGTTGCTCTGGGACACGCCGCTGCTGCCGCTTACGCCTACCGCCGCCAGGATCCCCCCTCCCAAGCTCCACCCGGCCATGGCGCGGGCAGATGGGAAACCCCCCCACTCCACCGGTCATTGCGTGAGCTACACACCCGCGCCACCGGGGAGTCTCCAATGACGGAGATGACCGGCTCCTCTGCAGAGGAGTTGGCACCGGCCAGCTAGAGCCCGCCGTCGCTCCAGCACCGACGGCCACTCACTCTCGTAGAGGCCGGCCCTGTCGCCTTGTTACTACGTCCTCGCCTTGTCCTGTGCTCGTTCGCCATGGATCTTGCTTCAGTGTTCCTCTTTCGGTCTCTGCTCTCTCTGTTTGCTGATTTGCAGCCAGCAACACACCAATTTGGTGTCTTATTTTCCACTTTTACTCGCTCAAATAGTCTATAAATTTATCTGTTTGTTGATTCTCTAGTCAGCTTGCTGATTTCCGGGCAACTCGCGATGGTATATAAATTGGTGCCGCCTCCCCGCCATGGCCGCCGCCCCCCACAAGCTTGCACCGCGGTGGTCCGCCGCTCCGACGCCGAAGAACTCCTCACTCCGGCCGACTCTCCATGTTTTCCTCCTTCATCTCCATGCATGCCTCCCGCCTCGCTGCCGTCGCCTGATGCGGGCACCCGAGCGCAGCGCCGCCTCCCTGCCATGGCCGCCCCGGCAAGTTAGAAACTTCGCCCGTCCACGCAGATCGAGCAAGGGGAGGCCGGCGGACGGGCGGATCAACGCGGGAGGCTTGGTTGTGGCTGGATCCAGGGCGCGGCGGAGCAGAGGATGTGGATCCGGGCAGTGGCGGCCGGATCCCGTCAGAGTCGTGGGCGGAGGCGGGCGGCGCGGCTGCCGGCGAAGCTCGGGGCGGCCATGGCGGCGCTGCAATGAGAGGGGGAGA